GCTCCTCCCAATTGTGGTAGTGAATACTATAATTATAAAGGAACAAACAGCTTGGTGCTCTTAGCAGTCTTGGATCATGACTACTGTTTTAAATATGTGGACATAGGCTCATATGGGCGAAATTCCGACGGTGGTGTTTTCCAAGCCTCCTCATTGTATCCAGTGTTGCAAAAAGGGTCATTACTGCCAGAAGGTGGCTTCCTAGTGGGAGATGGTGCTTTCCCTCTTAAGACGTACTTATTGAAACGATATCCCAATGAGCCCACGATTGCCGAAAAAATTTACAATTACAGATTCACTAGGGCAAGACGCATAGTAGAAAATGCATTTGGTATTTTAGTATCTCGATTCCGTGTTTTGGCAAAACCTATCCTGTTGCAAGAGGAAACCGCATTAAAAATGATTCGAACTAGATGTGTACTGCACAACTGGTTGCGCAAATCTTCACTTCACACCTACACACCACCTGGTAGCATAGATTATGAAGATATTGTAAATTTCACTACGAACCTAGGAACGTGAAGACCAGAAATAAATGCGTTACCAAGAATCGCCCGTTCGCGGATCAATAACAGATCAAAGTTCGCAGCTGAAAAATTGAGAGAAAAATACAAATTTTTTTGTTGTAATGAAGGTGCTGTCACCTGGCAAAATTATATGATTAATAATAATTAAACGTGATGAACTATCTCAGTGGTATAAAATATCAGGTACTCAACAGATTGCTTGTTGTTTTCTTTTCTTTCAAATTAATTGTTTTCATTATATAATCCATTATATCGAACCATTTTAAGGATGACTTGTAAACATCTTCCGACCCAGATCCACTCTTTTTACTTTTTTCAATTTTCGCGCGTTCTTGGTTATAGGTAGATCGTAAATTTTTTATTTTTTTAGTTACCTCACTGGTGTTAACTAGACTCATTTCGTTTGCAATGTATTCCAAAGATGCTTTTCTCATATCTCTATTTTTATAATTTTTATCAAAACAATTCCATAGGTTTTCTTGTTCTCTGTAGAGATTCATGAATGTAATATTATTCTCAGAAGACCACCTTTCTGAGCCCATTTCGAATTGGGTAAACGCTTTTGGCGCAGCACACATAAAATACAGCTTCTGCTTCCGAGCTGTTGCCATATGCGCGTTGCTGTCGGGCCAGTAGGCGAGTGAAAACGAAAATTGTTGAAGTAACTCGGATGCGAGCTACTGTCCAACTCGCACGTACGAGTTACTCGTAGGTACGTCCGTATTTATGCGAATTACTGCACTGCAGCTACTCGGCAGGCTGACTCGTACGCTAGCTCGCACTGTGTAAACGAGCCATCAGAAGTGACGTCACTAATGATATACAGTGGAATCCACTTATAATGAACTTGCTTATAATGGACACAATTTAAGGTCCTATAAATAATTGCATGTAAAATCCTAGGATATTATAGACTCGCTCAAAATAGACCCTCGCTTATAGCGAACTATTTTAATTTATTATATGTGAGCTTTTTTGGTGGTTCCACGGAGCAGATTTAGCTGATGCAATCGTTTACGGCGGTTTGGCTTCACAGTTTGCATTCGAACAGTGTTTACTGTATTTACTGTATTTATTAGAGTTAAAAACATGTCGAAAAGTGCGAAACGTGCATTCACTTTACACGAAAAGTTCACAATAATTAGTGAGCTTGAGCAGGGTTCATCTCAAGCAAATATATGTGCTCGTTTGGCTATAAAAAAATCTACTGTGTCAAATATTTGGAAAAACCGTGACAAAATTAAAAATAACTGGAAATCCAATAGTCAAAAGAAAAAATGAGGCTATCGATGCATCCCCAAGTTGATGATACGCTGTTTGAATGGTTTCAACAAATGCGTGCTAATAATTTTCCAATAAGTGGACCTATGCTACAAATAAAGGCTGAAGAATTTGGGAAATTGATTGGAGATTACTTCAAATGTAGTTCCGGTTGGCTAGACAGGTTTAAGAAAATACATAACATTGTTTTTGGAAAAATGTGTGGTGAGTCAGCTTCAGTTGACAAGAACGTTACCAATCACTGGATTTGTCAAGTTAGGCCCGTAATATCCAGTGATTATTCAGATGATATCATATTCAATGCAAATGAAACCAGGATATTTTATAAAACGCTACCTGATAAACCTCATAAATTAAAAAGTTAAACTTGCAATGGATGGAAACTATCGAAAGAGCGAATAACTGTTATGATTTGTGCTAATGCTTCTGCTACTGAAAAACGGTAGAAATTCATGTTATAATGTTTTTGACATTCAGTGGCAGTGCTGCAAAGAATTTATGACATTTTCTTTTATTTCAGGGAAATTTAAGAATCCCAGGTGTTTCAAAAATGTTAAAACAATTCCCGTCGATTATGTTGGAAATAATAAACATTGGATGAGTTCATCAATTTTTGAAGAATGTTTAAAAATGTAGAACCTTGTTAAGAAAAATCGTAAAATTTTGCTCTTGGTAGACAACTGCCCCGCTCATCCAAATATTTCACTTAGTAACATCAACCTTCAATTTTTTCCACCCAATGTGACATCAGTTCTGCAACCAATGGACCAGGGTGTCATTTGGAGTCGGAAACATATGTTGATGAAAATTATGGAGCTTCAAGAAGATGTCAACATTACCAAAGCTGTCACCATTTTAGATGCTATAAATTTGCTTACTATTGCATGGGAATTGAAAACGATTCGTAATTGTTTTCGCCATGGTGGTTTAGTTAAAAACATAACTGAAATAGTCAACGATTTTGATCCAGAAGATGAAATTCCATTGAGTGATTTACTGAAAATTAATAGTTTACTGAATATAAACAAATTTAGTGAGTATGTAAATGTTGACAATAATTTAATAGCAACACAGGAATTGTCAGACTCCAATTTGGTTAATGAAGGATCCGTTGATAACGAACAGCAAGACGAACTAGAAAACAACGATGAGGAAGAGCTTCCAGTGACAACTGAGGAGGCATTAGACTGCGTGAAAAAGTTGCAACGTTATTTTCAGCAAGAAGAAGACAGTACAGCCACACTTACCAAATTAAATAAAATTCAACTTGCTGTTCTAAATAATTATACAAATAAACAATCTGTTCAAATGAAAATTACTAGCTTTTTTACCAAATAATTTACGGTTTTTACACATACCTACACAGTACGTATGCCTGTAATGTTTGTATCAGATTCTGAAAAAATGCAAATTTCAAAATTACGTACAGGTATAACCTTGTATGTATCTTCATTTATGTAATACATGTTAAACAAACACATTTTAAGCTTTTAATATGTTATTTCTGCTGCTTTTTTCATTAAAAAAAGTGTTTCTTTCGTTCGCCTATAATAGACTATTTGTCACAGTCCCGCCGAGTCCATTATAAGCGGGCTTCACTGTATTTATTATTTTTCAAAAAGTCAAGATACGTAAAATAATCGAAAAGAATGAGTCAAAACAAAATTCTACCCAAGCCTAGGCTTACGGTTCTTCCCCGACTGTTTGACAGGTACTTTAAAATTGGCCTAGACCTAGTCATTCAAGGTCATTTTGAGGTCAAGTCTATTTTTCCAAATGAGAGTATACTTTTGATACTGGAAAAAAATAAAGCTTCTATTCTGATATGACGAATGATGACAACGAAATGTTTGGACCATTGTCCCAAAGTTGACACAGATTGCACCATTGAGACCACGCCTATATTCCAGTATCAGGCCGACGATGTTGTCTTTTTTGTCCACTGTGTGCGCTACAATCGATTCAATTCCTAACCCGGAAAAAACTTCACGGATTCCGATGGAATTTCGAGACAAGCTTATTATCATGCTGAGAACAAAAGCTTTGTCATCAGTTCATAAAGGATTAAGTTCAGTGCAATTTAAGTCCCCTGAGAAAGGCAGTATGGTTTCCGGCACCAACGATCCACAGGGGACCTCCTAGCTTAAGTCACGCAATTGTGGAGTAAACTCATCCAACCTTATGGTGAGGCCCATGTCGTTGCTCTTGACATCACGAAAGCGTTCGATGAGCAGTGGCACGCTGCCCTCTTAAGCAAACTTCTATCCTATGGCCTCCCAGAAAAGCTTTGCAAATGGGTGTCTGGCTGACTTTATCTCTGGTCGCAAGATATCCGTCGTAATTGACGGGTTCTCCTCTTCATCGCACAACGTCAACGCGGGTGTTCCCCAAGGATCGGTCTTGACTCCGACACTGGTTTCTCTTACATACGAATATCAACGACCTCCTTTCCTGCACGATCAACCCAATCCACAGCTTCGCTGATGAGAGCACTCTACATGCAGGAATTCAGAATGACAAGCCGATCTCTGCCATTGAGGTGTAAAAAGAAGGCTAGCGACGACATCCTCTCTAACAAGAGACCTGGAGGCTATCACTGCTTGGGGACGCAACAATCTTTTACAGTTCAATGCTTCCAAAACACAGTACTGTACTTTGACGAACAAAAAGCGTCCTAGCGCTCATCCAGTTTCGATGGACGGCCAAGTTCTGCCAAAGGGCCATTAATTTCGGCTGGCCGGAGTCCAGATCACCGAGGACCTGATCTGGCACGAACATATCTCGTCAATAGCAGCAGCTGCTGGGAAAAGCTAGGCTATTTGTTAAGGGCTAAGAAGTACTTTTTGCCGAAGGAGCAGACTTTCAAAAAGCATTAAGTGCAGTTTTTACGAAATTGGCCAAAAGATGGCGATCAAATGTATAGGTTCATCTCCATTTGTCAACCGCTCCTTGGACATCCAAAACGATGTTAAACGATAAATATAACGCCCGTTAATACGTCTAGACTTTCAAGAGCGTTATGTTTTTCTGCGTTGGACAAACAAATAGACTTTGATAAGCTAGTTAGTGCATGAACGCTTTTTGTTTGTCCAGTATATTTAGGATGAGCAGCAAGTAAACCCTTTTGTTTGGACACGTGTCTCAAGATTGTAATCCTGTCGTAACTTGCTTCAGTTAGCATAGTGATATCGAGTGGGTTAGATCGGTCGGACCACTATTATGGATGAAGAGCATATTGTTGGTGATCAAGACAGAGGCAGTAGAAAACGAAAATGGGGTGCAACATCACGGCAGCGGCAGAAAGAAATACGGTAGATATAGTAAATTATGTTATTTGGGGAATTTTCTCATAGTTTGCGGTTTTATTTCTAGATACGCTAACCCTGATCCCAACCTTGATGGTTTCGAAGTCTCCTGTAAGCATGGCAGAAATAAAAAACTTTCATGTAAGGATATTCCTTTCGAAGATCTAAGGCGCTGCCGACAAAAGTCTTATTCACAAAAAGACAAGGTTAAGAAAGATACGAAACTGTCTCATTTAATTGAAATTGGAACTCCTAGGAGAAAGAAACGTTCAGACCAAAGCTTTACTAGAAACCGCAACATTACTGTGCATTACAATGTGTGGAGCTCCAACAGCAAGAAAATAGTTTGTCAGAAAATGTTTTTAAAAATTTTTGGTATTAGTCAGAAACGCATACAAAATATTTCTAGGCAAATGAAAGCTGGATCGGGTATTTCTGAAAATCGTGGTGGTGACAGACGTTCGCAGAAAAATGTGGAAAAGCGCAAAAAAGTGAAAGCATTCATCGCAAATTTAAAGGGGCAAGAGAGTCACTACGGAAGAGCGAAATCTAAAAGGATATATTTATCTGCAGAGTACAATATCACCATACTACATAGGCTATACAATGATAGCGTTGAAGTAAGCTATAAAGTAAATTACAAGTACTTTAGTCGCATTTTTTTCGAATGACTTTAACATAGGATTCGGTACACCGGCGACCGATGTTTGTGGATTCTGTACGCGGCACCTAAATCTGCTCTCTATGGTGAACGGCCAACGCGAAAAGCAAACTGTTATTACAAATTTAAGAGTACATAAGTTACGAGCAAAGCAGTTTTTTAAAATGATGAAGGAAAAATCTGAAGACGGCATGGCATTCTGCTTCGATCTTCAGCAGGTACAACCTCTCCCTAAAGTACCGATTTCAGAGGCATTCTATGCACAGCAACTCTTCTTGTATGTTTTCTGTATCACAGACATACCTTGCAAGCGACCAATTTTCTACTCATGGTTAGAACACCAAGCAGGAAGGGGTGCCACAGAAGTTGGTTCTGCTCTTTACGATTTTCTCAGAAAGGCTGAATTTCCAAAAAACTTGAAAGAATTGACATTGTTCTCTGATGGATGTGGATGCCAAAACAAGAACAGTCACATAGTTCACATGATAATGATGTGGCTACATAAAGAAGCAACCAAAAGGCCTGCAATCTATAAGAATGGTTTTTCCAATAAGAGGCCATTCATACCTGCCAGCGGATCGCATTTTTGGACGATGTGAGAAGCTTATTAGGTCCCATAGCAGCAAATACTGGGAGTTGTATTCTCAAATCGGATTGGTTCGAAAGCTTGGGACTGACTGGAAAATATATGACCTGAAATCCGCTTTGTCCACTTTTAAGAAAATCGAATCAATCAGTCATGCTAAGCGAATCTTGACAAAACGGACTTCAAAACAACATGTAGCGGTGAAAGCAGAAACCTTTTACAGAAATGACGATGCCAACGCCAAGTACTTGACGTTGTTAAAAAAAACAAGAAGATTGAAAACTTGAGTTTTCCAAGGTTGCCTTTGAATCATGAAATAAAAAGGACAAAGTTGAAAAGTCTGCATAACCTTTTGGTGCAGCTATCCACAGAAAGATGGCGTGAGGGTGAGGAATTGCAATGGCTTCGTCCTATTTTTCCAGAGCCCATTGAAGAGCTACAAGAGAATAGTGATGAAGACAATGATGAAGATAATGCCCAAGAAGTATGTAACTGCATCGAAGATGATGGTGGAGTGAAAGTTTGAATATCTTTCTCTAAGCCTATTTTTTATAAGATTATATTCATCGGTAAATGGAATAAAGGTATTTTGACTTAAGTTACCGTTTCCCAAACAGAAGGACTTATTTCACCTTCGGAGTGCATCAAATAGAATCTACTTTTGGTCAAAAAATGGAATTTCTTTGTTTTCCAGGTAATCCTCCTTCACCATCAAAGCCTATCTATTTTCGTGGTATTTGATTCACCAAAATCAAGCATTTGCAGCTACGCATGTTGTCACAGCAGTTTTTTCCACTTTCCTCAATTTATGCGGGTCATAGCATAACGCTTTTTGAAAGTCTGCTCCTCGAATGACCTTCTCACTCTATACAAGGCCCAGATAAGGCCTAGCCTCGAGTATTGCACGCACGTTTGCTGTCCAGAGGAGGGCGGTCCGACTGATCGATGACTCTTCTCCAACAGACAGACTCTTTCGCACCGGCGGGCCATCGGCGATCTAGCTCTTTTCTACCTCTACACCAACGGACTTTGCTCCTCAGAGCTCCCTTCCCTGATGTCGCCGCGCGATGTGCCTGCCAGACAGGCCCGCCTGACTTTGGCGTCTCATCCTAACTGTGTCTAACTTAGTACAACCAGAACTGGCCGATACGACCGCTCCTTTGTCCCAAGGGTGTCGAGATTGTGGAACAATCTACAAGAGGAAGCTTTTCCCAGTTATATAACCTTATCATTATAGCAGCCGCGGTGTTCCGGCATTTAGGCTTCTTCGATATTAAAAAAAAAATTCAAAGCTAGAAATTAGTTGCGTATCAATTTCTTCTTAATCTTTCTGGAAATTACATATACAGATCTGCTGATTTTTAAAAATGAAATAAAAAAAGGAAAATCCCTGGTTGGTAAAGTAATTAACTTATCTGGAATCCTCTTTTTATACATACATACTGCCACATACTGCAATTATATTCTCAGTACACTGTAGAATTGCAAGTCGTAATACATGTTAACAGTAATAAGATGTGGTGATTTCCCATAAGTCTCCACAAAGCTTTGAAAATCCAAAAAAAAAGGAGAACATATAAGTAACCCGTCGGGCACAGCTAATAGACTTACTTCATTGGCAGCATAATCAGTAATACCTTTCTCATATAGCAAAACATCATACGCCTTTATACACATGGAGACCGATACACAACATAATCGTCCAGATGTGATATTGCTAGTCAATCAACATCTTCTCATAGATGAACACTACTTGGCTTTCTGCAACCAACAATGCATGCTTGAGCATGCCATGTCATTGACTCATTCCTCCATAGAAGGAAGCTTTTGATGACGCTCGCAGTGATCAGACGTGCAATGAACTATTTGCCCACTAGAAACTACCTGGACTGCAAGATGACATTTTGTCGGATTCTTTTGACATCAAGTCAAGTCATCGTTGGTTGTCAGAGCGGTCCGTGGGACCTTAGCTCTTGAGTCACAGTGTCAGTTTGTAAGTCTGTCAGGTCTGGTAACCCAGAAACCAGACAATTTTAAGGAAAAAAGGGAAGGAAAGGAGAGAAGGAAGAACGAGAGCAAAGGGGGAGAAGAGAATCTTTTAGGATAGGCAGCGTTCAGGCATTGTTAAAATCACTTCACAGATTTTGATATGGTCTAAAAATATTCGATTGTTTCTAAAGATTTTGTCAAAATGCTCCAATTTTGGTTGTTCCAAGTTCACGAATTAATTTTGATTACAGTGCAAGCCGCGGCCTTGTGTGCTTGCGAACTTGCTCGACTGGGTAGTGCACTGATTCACGCAACAGAGGGTTTCTCTACGATTCCGCTAGGCTATAGCGCCGCTGCGCCTGTTGCTTAATGTAGTCCTTTAGGTATGGGACATGGAGATTTCTATGTAGAGTTTCGTTAGGGACATACCATGGGGCGTCGGCAATAGTGCGCAGCATCCTGCTTTGCAGAACCTGCAGCTTTCGCATGTGTGTTTTAGCAATAAAACACCAAGCCGCACATGCTTAAGTCATTGATTGTCTTATGACCACCTTATAGAGGAGTCGAATCTTGTTATTCAAACTTAATTTTGAACGTTTACATAATAATGGGTAAAGCTGTCGAAACGTAATTTGGAATTTAGTTTATAGCGGTTCTGTATGGTTCCCCCAAGTCATCTCTTTGTCCATAATGACACCGAGATACCTAGCGGAGGATTCCCATGGTATACGAAGTCCATTCATTGAAACTTCAATCGGAACGACGCGACGTAGATTGCCTGCGTTTTCGAATGGTTAATTTCAATTAGCCACCGATCCGCCCAATCTAATGCTTCCTCCACCGCACTTTGCAGCCTGTCATGCACTAGGTCACCAGACCACGACTGAGCCACCAATGCAGTATCGTCATCATAGAGATAGACTTCACAGTTGCTGGGACTAGGGACGTCATGGATGTACAGTGAGTGAAGGATAGGTCCAAGAACCGTACCCTGAGGTACGCCGGCTGTAATCAGCCGTATTGTCGACAGGACATTGTCAATTTTGATCCAAAATTTCCTACCTTCAAGGAAGGATTTCAGTAGTTTTAGAAGCCAAAAAGGGAAGCCCTTTTGGATTAGTTTATACAGGAGGCCCGCGTTCCAAACCTTGTCAAATCCTTTTGAGACATCCAAAAGCAAGATTCCAGTACTTTCGTTAAGGGTGAATCCTCTGGTTACTCGTTCCACCAGCCTAACTGCCTGTAGCTCCGTACTATGTTCAGACCAAAAACCGAATTGCACGTCAGGAATCACATGGTGATCTGACGAGAAATTCTCAAGGTGACGTAGAATCACCTTATCAGCGAGCTTAGACGAAGCTGACAGCAGGCTAATGGGACGATAATCCTGAGGGCATATCGAACCCACCTTCTTTGGAATCATTATAACTTCAGCGCTCTTCCACGCGGATGGGAAGTACTAGATCCTTAGCATGGCATTGACTATCGCCAGATAAGTTAAGGACTTCCGCGAAAGCAGCTTCAGCGCCTTATTAGTGATTTGATCCTCTCCAGGTGCTTTACGCACTTTAAGGTCTTTAATATGACCTTGAATCTCTGCTGGTCTGCAATGAGGAATCTCGGGTGATTCCGCTGATGTGCTAAGCAGATCTTCGGTTGAAGAAGCTTCTGAAGAAGAATCTTCTGATGAAGAAAAATCACCAACGGTAGCGCGACTGTCACTGACGCCGTTTGGCCCTAAAATATCTCCTGACAGATCTTACAATGTGTTGCTCCCCGTCGAGGTCATTATCAAGATCATAGTTGGGAGAGGACTGTCTTTCCATGGCATCGGCGAAAACCTCAACCTTTTCTTCTGTCTTGAAGACAATTCCTCCAGGATCGAGGATGTGTGGGATTGGTTCACGCTTTCCGTTTTTGAGCAACTTCGCAACCTTCCAGAGAGGAATGCTTGAGTCAAGCATTTCCTACTTCGTCATCAGGATGGGACTCTTTTGTTGTTTTTTTTAAGTTTTTTATAGAACTGCCAAGCAGTACTTTTCAAGTTATAGGCTGTCCATAAGCGGCCTATGCGTTGGCTTATGGTGGACGGACTGTCCTTAATTCGACGATTCATTCATATACGCTGTCCATGGAATAGCGGACAAATAGACTGACAGACATGAGTGACATGTTTTTTCGTGATGTACACGTCATGTAACGTCCAAAAACCACAATATATCTCATACTTGAAATTATTTGCGAATATAAAGTATCGAAGGAAGTAAGAATCAAGAACGTAACCTTTTGGCTGTTTGATGCTTTCCAAAATTACTTTCACAAAATTAAAACGATATTCCTAAAAAAAAACAAGATACTCACAAAATCTTTAGCCTGGGAAGATACGCCCTGAAGACATCGGGCTGGATTTTCAACAGCTTGGGCGCCCTGTGAATATACCTGGAATAAACAAACACTTCGTAAAGCCCCCTTGAAAGTAATTTGGTGATAAATAATGGTCTTTTTCAGAATCTCATTTAAACTGAAATGAAAACAGCGTAATTTATTTTTCCTGCACGGTAACATAATAAGTGGCAGTGCATCAGCGCCGCTTTCCGGAACAAAAGGTGTTCCGCGATGTATTTGAACTTAAACGCGCGGACAGAATACTTGATGAAAATTCATGAAGCTGAGTTAAAAGCTATTTTCTCAGTTAATGCAATTTGGATACTTGAAGCAAGTCGTGTCTGCAGTCGCCGCATTAGCGTTCACATCCTGAGGTCACGTTCAGAAATACGAGGGACACTCTGATACTTTGGTAAAAGTGGTTAATGAGGCATCAACACAACGACGCCGAATAAAAGATAACGTATGTTTTAGAAGTTTTGGCACAAAAATCACTGGCTTTAATTTTAACAAACACAGAATATGTAATATCAAGTTGCTTTTGGAAATAAAAGTTTGTACTTGCTTTACTGTCAGTTGTCATTTATTTATTTTGAAGTTTTCGCTTTAAGATGTCGTATGAATTATAAATAAGGAAATGTATCTACAAATTGGTTGGGAGTGTATCCAGAGCTGGAATCTGTCGAATATTCCAGAATGAAAACATTTTACGCAGAGCCATATATCGAAAAATAGTGGAGTGCGAGCAGGCAACCCAACTAGCAAAGTAGTGCTATAAGCTTTTGGTAAAAGAACCGTTTAGCCATAAAAGCTCTCTATTATTGTTGCCTGAACACCAAAATGCTGGCTTAATGTTGTGTGGAATGGAAATTTGCTTTCTGCAACATATTTGCTCTAAACTGAGGTGTTTAAAATATTCTTATAGCATAGTTACACAACAACACCTTATAGGACAAATTTATACAACATATAAATCCGAACACCCAGTTTAAATGGTTTTATTTTAATAAAAGTTGGTGAATGTATTTATCTTACTGTAAATAACAAGTGAAAAAATGTTCAGCCTTATCAGTTGGACATTTCGGTTTTTATACTGCTTTTTTTTTAATTCACTAACGCTCTAAAAATGAATATTTCAGCCGCAGTAAAGAA